CCTTTTAAAGAGTCATTCCTCCACTTGTACTTTGGATCTCTGCATCTCCACATTAATTTGGGTGTTTGGAGCCCAGGCAGAAGATCTACAGATCCCTCCGTGGTGTGCTGCTGTATTTTAGGTGGACATCCATATCTTAGGAAGGTCTCTCATTAGTCCATCCTCTCTTCATGTTCAAACGATGGCTTTAAATCCCTGACCCATATGCTGTGTTTCTTAGCCTTCATGATGCTGCTTGTTATCTGATTATCTTAAAATACCACTGCAACCTAAAAACAGCTGGTTGCTTACCTTACTTTACTTCGGGGTATTGAGGTAAAGGGGGTTGAATGCAGATAAAAACCATCAGTTTTAAGTACAAAAAACATGCAACATTTCCTTTTTCACAATCAATAAGCACATATCTCTGTTGGTCTGTGACATAAATTCTACTTAAATATCATTTCATTTTGGGGTTGTATGGTGACAAAATATAAAGACAATGTGTTTATACCTCTTTAAGGCACTCTGACGTATTTTATGTGACTCTGATATTTCAGTTGCAATGTTTACTTACAATCCCATGTTTCTGTAGAAGGTCAATGTCTTGGAAAAACGACTCCTGTTCAGTTAGGAGAAAACAGATATATTAAATTTTACAAATTAGGGTTTATTATTCAATGAAGCCATTAATTGTTCCACCTTAATACAGACTTTACGCACTAGTAAATTATGTCAGCATCATTGTAGTCTGACTTTTTTATTAATGATAAATACTGGGAGATATTTTTTAGGAAAACTCAAATGTATTTTCTCAATCTTACCTCATCATCCTGGAAACCATTATCATCCTCAACAACTTGATCCTCAGATACTTTCATTTTCATTCAGAATTCTTTAAAAAATGAGCCAAATCTATACTTTATACTATACTACGTTTAGTCCAATCTTTTAAAGGTATTTTTTTTTTTTTTTTTTTTGCTTTTTAGCCAAATGTAGAAGAGTTAATTTAATGACAAGCTAGCTCGCTACTCAAAACGTAGTCACAAAATAGAGGCTGGTAAACAAACTCAAATTGTTTGAATTATGCGTCTGAATTAAAGAAAAATAAATAAATAAAACAGCTATCGTATAAAATGCTAGGTTCTTTAAACTCTAAAAGCAGCTTCTTGTTCTTTGTCAGCTAACACCTAGCTTGCTCCACTGGCGGGAATTTAGAGCTGAGATATGTTGAAGTGCTGTCGGAAAGTAGGGTTTCATTACTCAGATCATTGAATAATTCATCAGTCCCTTCTTCATATTTTATTTTATATATTTGTTTGTTTTTATTTTTGTCTTGAGCGCTTCAACCTTTTACAAATCTCTGCCAGCTTGGGTTGAGAACCTCCAGATAAACCTCCCGATAGATGAATAGAAACGCAGAAAGCAGAAATGTACAGAGGTTCTCAAAAGCCCCCTGTTCGCCAGTTAGATTTTTTTAAAATGTTTGTACTACAGGACTTAAATTTCATAAATATATACTATATGATTGTACTATGTAAAAACATAAATTAACAATGTGTGACTAAATAAGTAAGACTTTAAAGATGCCTTCAATGTTTTAAAAGAAGGCAGCATAATGCTACAAACTCCAAAGACTTAGAGAGCTAACCGTTAGCTTGTTCTGCTAACATTTTCTGTTTAATTTTGTTTACTGCAGTTCTGTAATTGTTTTAATCCATGACTCAGGTGCTAAAATGCGATAAAAAAAAAAAAATTATGTCAATGCTAATAGTTGAAGCAATAATATCTATGTATGTGTTCGACATGTTTGTTTATGGATCGTTACAAGTATTTTATTTTATTTTTTTAAAGGAACTGAAAGGAAATAATTATCAAATGGCTAGCTTCGGTTATAGTTGCATTCTGTATCCACCAGAGGGAAGTAGACTGTTTCCAGTTTTGGGTTTTTTTCTGTTGTTGCTGGATTCCTGCTTCCGATTGTTTTATGAAGCACTTGTTGATTTGTTTTGTCTGTTTCTTCCTAACTATTTAAAATTTTCTTATTAAGGGGGAATCTAAAGCAGCTTCATACAGATAATAAAACCGCCCAGTGATTCAGTGCCAATGATGCCGAAATGGCTGCAACTCTGATAATGCTGCATGATGTAGCCTACATGTAAAAAAAAAAAAAAAAAAAATATATATATATATATATATATATTGGTCTCCGCCAAGTGACGTCAATTGTTTACCTCGGGCGCGGTACACTATGCCTTTTCCACTTAAAATGGCGTCTTAGCAACAAATGTCACGTGACTGGCGGAGACCGATTTTCCTAAATCCGCCCCTGTTTTCAGGCTTATGTTAACTGTAATGACTTATCTTGGACACTCTGCTATGTAAACAGGCCTTTAGTCCTTCGTTTAGCTATGCTGCGGTTGTTTACACTACACCTTTTCCAACTAAAATGGCGTCTTAGCAACAAAAGTCACGTGACTGGCGGAGACCGATATATATATATATATATATATATATATATATATATATATATATATATATATATATATATATATATATATATATATATATCTTTAATTAATTTATCTACTGTTTTCATGTTGTAATAAAGACAATTCTTAGGTATAAAGCTAGCTGTTTTTGCTCAGACTGATTGAAAATTACTTTGGTATTTTTCATCCCAGTGGGATAAACCATAGGCAGTTCTAAGAAACAATATCTCCAAAATCTATACATAACATTGATTAATTTTATTTATTTATTCATTTATTTTTTGTGTGGGTGATAACGACACAAGAAAATTTTATAAAGTTAACACAATTCAGCCTGGTTTACTTTGTCAGAAACTCTACAAGACTCAGGTGGAGGCATCAGTAATCACCTCAATCAAGGGATACCTGACAAATAAGCTGTCTGTGATTTATTGGTGTCAAGATCGTTCAAGTAAAGAAATGCATGTTTTCATGTACTGCATTGAAACTTTTTAGAAATCTTATAAAAGTTTAGCTTTATTACTGTAAATAACCAGTCATTGCGTATGCTGGGCATTCATACCAATGCTGAAGGAAACTATTACTGCATACAGTAGTTATAGCAATAGTTCATAGGACCCTCTTACATTTTTCTGTTTTACAATCATAAGTCATGGATTTAGAGAGCCAACAGAGACAACTTGTTTTTCTAATTTAGGTTCATCTAACAGGGCATGTCGGTTAGAAAAACGTTCTAGTGTAGCTGTTAAATTGGGTTTACATGAGCAGTGTTTTGTTTTCCCTCTTTAATTCAATTCAGTTTATTTATTTATTTAGCGCCAGAGATGGCAAAAGTACTCACTTTCCGTACTTGAGTAAAAGTACAGATACTTGTGTTGAAAAATACTCTGGTAAAAGTGGAAGTACTGATTAAACTTCTTTACTCAAGTAAAAGTAACAAAGTACAGGCTTGTAAATTTACTTAAAGTATAAAAGTAAAAGTAGAAACCACTGTTTTCATGCCGTTGCCTACATTTTAAATGGATGTCTGCCAATAGGACTAGATCTCCGTTGTGTTCATTTTCAATCATCTCGTCGTCCATACAACTATGCTAATGCCACCGCCACCAAGCTGCAATGATTTGCCGTGAATGAATACCGCCGAATCTGTCGATTCATCTTGTAGTGGTGCGTCAAATGCAACGTAGATTCCCATCCAATTAGATTGAATTTGGTATTGATGACGTGAAAAATAACTCCATTGAAATGATTCAAAACTAAAGTAACGAGCCAATTTTTAAAAATGTAAGGAGTAGAAAGTACAGATATTTGTGTAAAAATGTAAGGAGTAGAAGTAAAAAGTCACCATAAAAATAAGTAGTAAAGTAAAGTAAAAATATCAGAAAAATCTACTTGAGTACAGTAACGAAGTATTTGTACTTCGTTACTTCCCATCTCTGTTTAGCACCAATTCACAAAACACGTCATCTCCAGGCACGTTACAGAGACAATTCAACCAGATCATACAATCGGATTGATTGATAAGTTTTCTAAGGAAAACAAGTTGATTGCATCCTCTCATTGACTCGAAGGCAAACCATTACATCAAGCATGCTTGTAGTGACAGTGGAGAGGAAAAACTCCCTTTTAACAGGAAGAAAACTCCAGCAGAATCAGGCTCAGTGTGAGCAGCCCTCTGCATCGATTGTAACTCTGGCTGTATATGGCTAGAGTGGTTGTCCTGCAGCAGAAAAAATTATATCTGATGATCTTGTTTTCAGTCACTTGCCAGTGGGGATGTAGCTCAGTGGTAGAGCGCATGCTTTGCATGTATGAGGCCCCGGGTTCAATCCCCGGCATCTCCAGTTATTTTGAGGGGAGTATTGACCGTGTAATAAGAGCTTTGGGCTTGGGGCACGGAGGTTGAGTTAAACTTTGAGAGATTGCCATTCTAGGTCCCTAAGCAAGCCCATTAATTTTATATTTAGGGAATGGTTTACTTATTATCACTGAAGTTTAGAAGAAAAACTGAACCATTGTGATGCAACAATAGAAGATAACAGCTAAACAATATTTTGTTAAATTATTTATTTGGTTTAGTGTCTCTAATTACAACTATTTTTAAATCAATGTAATGAGCATGTGCAATGTTGGGCGAAATATATATAGATGGAATCTCCATCATTTAATCAACTTCAGCGCCTTACAGGGAATTTAATGCGTTCATAAAGTCCAACATGTTTAGCTCCATCTATCCTCCCATCTACCCAGTTTCCCTGTGTATCTCAAGTCTCCCCAGACCATGATGTTGCCACCTCCATGTTTTACTGCAGGGATGACGGTGCTGCATTACATATCAAATGCACTGTTCTGTTTTGGTCTCATCTAATAAAAGGTCCTCCCTCATCTAGCTTGTTAAGTCATGTAAATCATTGGAGATCTATTATCTATTAATTTAAATGTGGTGTGTAGGAGCAGGCAAAACATCCTAACATGCATGACAGTAGAATAAATGGTTTGGATTGATTTAGGACATGTGACACTTGAGGGTTTACATGATATTTCATTTTATTTGGTGTTTTCGCTATTTCCCCCAGTCAAGTTAAATAAAAATAGAGGCAAATTTTGAAGTGTAAGACTGTAATATGCTTCCAAAATGGAAACTGTTAGCACGACAAATTTTCCCTCTAGGATAATAAAGTTACCCCGAACCACAAACAGGACAACTGGCTTGAAATAATAATAAAAAAAAAAAAGATGGATTTTACATGGTTTAAATCAAATACCCGACCTCTGCTATAGTGATCTTATTCATATAATCTTTTAAGGTGGAGAAATAATTCTCTAGTGGAGTTTGAAGGGAAAGGCATAACAACCTCAAATATGAACATTTTACATCCAGATAGAAAAAAACAAAAAGAAGTCTTTCAAATGAAGCTGCTCTGTCAACACGCCCACTTTTCATACTTCTTTAGACCTTTCTGACATTTCTAAGTACCATCATGCCTTGCATACAGAACATAAAGCACACATGAAGACAGAACTAAGAACAGAAACACGGATCAGACTGGAGACAAGTCTTACCTCTTGTTACTCATGTACCCACCCATATTTGCTACCCACCCAACAATTAATTAAAAAAACAAGACTACAGATGCATTGCTCATACACATATGTCTCAGTTTGACATTTGGGACAAAGAGAGAGAAATGAATGAGTTCTGATTTACAGCTGATACCCAGGCCTTCTCTCAGTGTTCCATTCTCTTTCTCCATCTCTAACTGCAGACATCCCGGCTGTATCGAAAGCAGGAGACTTGAACTAATGTTTTGATATCTTGCTCTTCATGCTTTGCCGGGCGCAGGAGGCATCATCCCCGGCATCCCACCAGACATTCCAGTGTTGGGTCCTAATAGGATCTGAAACAGGAAATAAAAAAATATTTTCAGCTTCTTACTCAATTAAATAACTTATTTTTAATTTTTCCCTTCATTTTAAAGAGATGTGACAGAAAAGGCTCCCCCTTCTAATAAGTCATGTGTTGGGTTAGTGTGATTTAACAATCTAGTTAATGAACTCAGCAGACATGCTTAAAAAACAAACCTGTCTCTGCTGTTGCAGCTGCTGCTGCTCCAACTGAAGTCTCTCTGTCTCAAATACAACCGGCAAGACCAGGATCATGAAAGAGGTAGTGCCCACCCAGATTGCAGATCGGGAGAAGCTGAGACAAAGTAAAGAAACTGGTTAGTTTGACTATAAAAGATAACCCTAAACTACCCTGGTATGCTTCGACTAATGACTCCATAACATTAATTTTACTTTAAAAGTGCTGCAATGCAGTCATCGTTGAAGCATCGGTGACTGCAATACTGTAAGGAAAGAACTGTCTGGATTAATATTAAGCTCTACTTGCTTATAATACACATTTGTAGTTGCTTGAATGGATGATAAAAATGAACGTTGAGGAGATGCTAGTTAACCTTTTGAGTTAAACTTGTTGCAGGCTCAGCTATAAACATGCAGAACAGAAAAAGAATAGACCACCTCCATGCAAATCAGATCTCTTCTTTAGAAGTGGCAATTTAATGCTACTAGAGAACAGTAATAACAAGTTTTGGTGTGAAGGTTGTTAATTCATGAAAGTTAAAAACAAAACAACACTCGGAGCTGGAAATCTGTTTTATACATTTTGGGGAGGTGTCAGTGTCAGTCAGGTAGTAAAAGAGCAAGAGTTTCAACAAATATTATGAAAGCTGAACATATACTGCAGAATCATGACGTTTATCTTTTAGAGATTTCATCTTGTGAAGGGAAGGAGCTTCAGAATATAGGAGTTGCAATAATCATCACAAAACGCAAGTTATAAAAGTCTGCTTGAATGGAATATTTGGAAGGTAATAATGGTTTAACTGCCAAATAATCACATTCTGGATTAGGATTGCAAAGACTGATTATTTCGCTGATATCTGTTAATTATTTTTAATCCAGCGATTAATAATAGCAAAGCAAAAGGAGCCAAAAAGAAGATTTCATATAGAATTTAGACACAGTGAAGCTAAAACTATGTTTTTTGAGGAGTTATAGATAGAACAAATTTATAGATAGAACATATTCATCTGCAAAAAAGATTTTTCATTGTAAAAGAAAAAATTGTATACATTTCTATGAAAAATTGGCAAAATAACTGCTCCAAGTGCCCTTTCAGCTAATGGCATGTGTTAGAGATTAATCGATTACAACATTAGTTGATGATTATTTCAATATTCGATTGATCATAATCAATCTGACTAATTGTTGCAGCCCTATTCTAGATTACAATATCACATGCAATCAGCTGAATAACTATCACTAGCCTCCATGAGTTTTGGTGATTATCTTGCAGAAGTTTATCAAAAGGTAATGTGAAAAATGCATTTAATAAAAGAGCAATATTAAGCTACATACTGTATTGTCTTAACATTGTAGGGATCTAGAGATAATGTAACATTCTAAAATGTACAGCAATGTCAATGAATATTGCTGTTGATTAAGGTGATTACTATTCACAACACAAAATTGATGATTAAATAATATGTCCATTTTGAACAGTTCTCCAACACACACATTAGCATTGCCTCAGCTCCTTCTAAAACTAATCGATGACTGAACACAGTGGAAAAGCTGGGGGAAAAAATAACATTTTCAGGCTGTTTCTTTTTTATCTCCCTGCTATAGTTCAATCAATCTGAATCAGATAACACTGGTACACATATGTCAAAGCTGATTTGTAAATAGGGCAATGAATTTGTGCATTTAAAAACCTCTCAAGCTCTAGCTTGTGTGCCAAATTGTCATTATTACAAAATGCATACTTATTTTGTATTTGGGTCTTATTTGGTAATAGGGCTGAGTATTTTCACCAAAGTCCTGAATCGATTTGATTTTGATTAATACTACTCTAAATCGGTTAATTTTGATTCAATCTCTATTTACAATAATAATATTAACAAATAATAATAATGAAAGTGGTTCAACTGTGTCTCAAAATACTCATTTTATTTTTTCCTGTCACATTAAACACAAGATGCAATCTCGTAAATAAGACAGTTGAAACTTCAGATGTGAACAAAACTGTCTCATAAGTGCAAACTTAATTGTGAAAAGTGAAAAAGTGAAGCCTCACTCGAGCAAGCAGATGTGACACAGCAGACATGCATGAGCTGTGTTATCTTCACAAATTATATTTGCAGCATTGTCTGTAACAACCACCGGGTTTTTGCTGGTCAGCACCCATGTGTTAATGTCTTCAGTCAAACTATTGGCTATATTTACAGCTGTCTGGCTTGAAGTCATCTTGAGTGCATCTTTCCTGCTCATTTGAATGTGAACGCCACGCGCGTCACTATAAAACTAACCGATCTCATTCCCTTGACATCGCTTCACATCGATTTACACAAATGTAAAGGAATCGATTCAAAATCTATTTTTTTTACCCTGCCCTATTTGGTAAACATCTGAAACATTTCTGCTCATGCCTAAATACTGTTTGCTAATACCCTAACAAACATGTGTAATATTGTCCACTGAAAGTATATCCACCATTCACCGATATATTATTAAATAATCTAAAATTATTAGTGTTTTATTATGTAATTATCTAAAAGCTTCTTTATATATTTCTATAAATCTTAGATTATTATTTTATTACACTTTTGTCTCTTTTCTAATCCTGTGGCATTTTGGTGCCTTGTATTCCCATACGACTAAAAGAAATTATACCCAAATGGATTTTGTTTTTTTGAGTCATGTCAATAAGAGGATTTTCTCAGTGGGTGATTGTTTCAGGTAGTTATAGTCTAATGCTATACCAATGGGAAAGCAGTGCTGATGAGGACTGACCTGTAAAACTTCTTTAACAAGGAGACCGAGCACTGCACAGATACATCTGCAGCTGACCTCACGGTGTCAGGAAACATCTCTGTCAGCCCCCACAGCCTCTCCACCAGGGTCTCATCCAGCTGAAGGAGACAAAAAACAATTTACTTATCAAAAGAAAGACAAGATATAGCAGCGTGGGCTCTATGGCGGCGATTCTGTGATGAAGCACTGATATTTCAAGCTAAATAAGTCTGTTCTTCTAGACTTGATTGAAATAAGGAAAATAAAGAGCTCGGTTAGCTTACAGGTTAGCATGGAATAAGGCTAGGCTCACAGGAAAACATCCTGCAAACACTGTTAGTATAGCTAAAATAAGAGAACAGCGCTTTTTGTAAACGGGTAATAACTGAAAGGAGAGAAAGCTAACATCTTCATCTTCGTCGTCGTCTATCTCGTCTTCTGGAGGCCGGGTAGACACCGGGCCTGAAGCCGGAGACAGCTCTTCAATTGCAGCCATTTCTTCTCTTTAACTTTCCTGGTGGTCGTCCGGCGAATTTAGCTGGAATCCGCTGTGAAGCCGTCGTACAGTTTCGACGATTTTTTATTTGATTTTCAGCTGTTTTCATTCAATTCCATTCAATTTCAGTGAAATAAGCCTGCGACAACAGTCTGAGGTCACAGTGGGGGAAAAACGTGAGACTTGTCAGGGTAAGGGTAGGAGTGCAGGGGTCACTTTGGACGACAGGTGGAACAAACAGCGCCCCCTGTAGCGACGGCTGTCTAATAGCTCAAATAAAAAAAAGCATGGCACAAAATAGGGTTTAAGCTGAGGCAATGGGACTTTGTATATTTTGGTCATTTGATTTTCCTTTAAGAAATATATTTAAAAAATAAAAAAAATTCAGGTGGCTATTTATTTTTTTTGCTTCAAATATAAAATCCAGAATTTAAATAAGTTTTTTTCTTTTTAGTTTTAAAACTATATGGTGAAAAAAATGACATGCATTTCAAACTTTATTTTGGATTACAAAAGATAAAATTACTTTATAACATGAATGTAAAAAAGACCCATACGTTCATATTCCGAAACCGGATATGGTCGTTGGCATTACGAGGGCATCATATTTGACAGGGTACACGCATTGCATGGAAAATATATTTAGAACCACTTAGTTAAGCTCTTATATAGACCAAAACAAGGTTCCCATCCACATGCAGTGCAATGATCCTAAAAAATAAAAAATCTTTGGAATAAAACTGATTAAGTTTGATGGGACTCCCTGATTTTTATTGTCAAGTACTGTACCGCTTTCACATGCTGTTGCATTTTTTGTTGAACATGTAAGTTTAAAAATAATTACACTATATTTTTCACCTTTCAGTTTTCACAAAGACATTTCTTTAGGGCCAATGTCTTGGTTAATTTTGCTGTTATGTTCTCTTGATGTTCATTTCTTCTCCATACCTCTAATGCCTACTAAATCAAGTATCTGTATAATGTGTCAAACTCATTTCTGCATTTGGCTTTTTCTACATAATTAAATATTTCAAGGTTTGGTTATAGGTGTATGAAGTAAACCTTTGGTTTAATTTATTCATTTAAAAAGAGTAAACTGTTCTGTTATAAATGTACTCCCATTTATTTGAAGCTTTAGCCCCTTAGTTCACTTTAAAAGCATATTTGCCTCTATGTCTCATTTGGCTTTTAAGAGCAAGATAGATTTCAAATAAAGATGTGTTTTTTTTAGACCAAGTTTGTTATGATGTTTTGATCTTTGATTAATTTCTATGCTTCATGAACTCTATGACCTGTTCTGACATAAATTATAAAATCAGGATTTTATGCAGCAGGCAAGAAGAAGAAGATGCTGGTCTCACATTAAACTGGCAAGTCATGTCTGATAAATTGAAGTATATGGTGATCAGACAAATTATGCTGACTGGACAGAACACTGGCCCCCTGTACAGAGACAGCATCCCATTTTTAATGTGAAGAAACTGGGCATTTCTCTTTTCTATTTTGATTTCAATGTATTTCTTGTTTTTCTAAATGGTAAACGAACCATAAATAATTCTAAAAATTTTACTCACCATTTTATAACACTGAAAATTAGAAAAGCTCTTTATTTCAATTTTGATTTTTGCATTTAAAACAATAAAAAAATAGCCATTTGTTGTTTTTGTTTGTTTTGTTATTTTTTCATACCCTTTACTAAAATGAAAATCAAAAGACTAAAAGATGCACTCATCCGTTTGTCTTAGTTTTTCCTCTTAAATAAGTTTATACACCTATCCAAGAGTCTTTGTGAGTTCTAGATAGGCCTGTTTGTGGTTGCCATGACTAGGATGACTAGGAATTTGCACAGGCATGTAGTGTTAAAAATAGCCCAACCAATCTGTCAAAAACTTGAAAAATGAAAAAACAATGTTACCTATTAACAACATACGCAGCATAGTCATTTGGTATTATTAAATACCATATAATGTATACACATACAATTGCATGCTTCTCTGGTCTAAATTAAAGTCAGTGGTGACAGGCCATTTACCTGTCAGAAAAGGTTATTACCGCAAAACTAAACTGCAAAAATTAGTGATAAAATACGAAATTATAAAATTAATATGTGCTGTCAATTTGTAATTGAGGATTTGACCAAGCTTGTGGGAGACAAACATTTTCCTCCCCCTGTCAAATGAATTTTTATTATGACTGTAAAATGTGAAAAGACAGGTTTCCAATAGTTGCAATAATTATTTAATTTATTACCAAATGATAGTAAAAATAATTAGATCATCCTAGAAAATTATCATCCAGTCATATAAGTAAAGTATAAATGCTTGATTCTAAAATAAATATTTTATATTTTGTGGAACTTTTAGAGTTTTTTTTTATAGTTTTATTTTTTATTTTTACACTGTTTATCTCTTATAGTTTGAATATCACTCAAACATAGTAAACAAAGTAATTTTACAGATCTGAAATCAAGAAAACGTTTATTTAAAATAATTTAAAAAATCCTTTTTTATGGTTTATTTTTAATTTGTCATAGCTCAGTTTTATAGTCAAAAAGTGCTTACTGTTAAAAATGTGTTTCTGGGCTGTTTTCCTGCTATTGGGATAATAAAAGGACTCGTTCATGGAAAAGTTCTAGGATACAAATGAAGGGAATCTTAAAATTGTAAATTATTACAATCCTTGTAAAAAAATAGAAAAGATAAAACTTGAAACAATATTAGAACACTGGGGAGGGAAAATAGTTTGGTGTGGGGACTTCAATGCACATAGCACTTTATGGGGAGATCAAGATGATTATAATGGAGGAATTTTAGAAGAGATCATTGAAGAAAAAGAATTGGTAGTTTTAAATAACGGGGTAGGTACTCGGGTAGACTTGGTAAGAGGTAAGGAATCGGCTATTGATCTGACTTTAGTTTCTCAATCTATTGCTAATATTTGCAGTTGGAAAGTATGTAAAGAAAACACAATGGGGAGTGATCATTATCCGGTTTTTACAAGGATAGGAATAGATATAGAGGAAGATCAGGTAGAAATTGAGGGGAGGTGGAAATTTGGGAAAGCAAACTGGGATAGGTTTAAAATAATGTGTGAGATTAAAATGAAAAATGTAGATATAAGTAAACCAATAAATGAATTAAATTTAGAAATTAGTAATTCTATTATTAACTCAGCCAAAATATTTATTCCTAGAAGTAGTGGTATAAAAAAAAAGAAAATAGTACCTTGGTGGACACCAGAATGTTCATTTGCAATTAAACAGCGGAATAAGGCTTTTAAAACACTTAAGAAAACAATTTGCTTCCAAAATCTAGTTAATTATAAAAGGAAACAGGCAGAAGTTAGGAAAACTATAAGAAATGCTAAACGCGATTATTGGAGGAAATATTGTGAGTCTTTGGGGAAAAATACTGCTTTAGATAGAGTATGGAATACTATTAGGAAAATGTCAGGGAGTTCAAAAGAATATTTTTTCCCAGTAATTAAAGATAATGGAAATATTATAATAGATAATAAGAGTAAAGTTGAAATATTAGTTAAAGGTTTTGCTAAGATACATAGTACAGAAAATGTAAATAATAAAGAAAAAAGAGGGCGTGAAATGACATTAAAGAGAAATATTGCATTGGTCAATGATGAAGAAGATTGTGAGGATTCTATTAACATGAAGTTTTCCTTGTTAGAATTAAATAAAGCATTGAAGAATTCTAGTAAATCTACTCCTGGGAAAGATCAAATTAGTTATAGTATGTTAAATAATCTTAGTGATGTGAGTAAAGAAATATTATTAGAATTATATAATAAGGTGTGGGAGGAAGGGATATTACCTGATATATGGAAAGAAGCCATCATTATACCAATTTGCAAACCTGGTAAAGATCCTAATTTAGCTTAAAGTTACAGGCCAATAGCTCTAACATCATGTATGGGTAAAGTCATGGAAAAAATGGTAAATAACAGATTAATTTATTTTTTAGAATCTAAAGAAAAGATTAAATCTTATCAATTTGGATTTAGAAAAGGCAGAAGTACAATAGATCCTGCATTATGTCTGGAACATGAAATTAGACGGGCTCAGGTAAATAAGGAGAGTGTGTTAGCAGTATTTCTTGATGTGGAAAAGGCTT